GATGACCCCCTGATTCCTTTGCTGAACAGGGATGCACAACCAGCTGCGGTTGTTGCAACGCGAAATTCCCCAGCCCTAAGCAACATAGTAGTGCCGACTAGGCCAAGGGGAAGCAGGAAGCTAAACCTTGAGCCCAGCTCGTCCAAGCATAGTGAAGAACTGATGAGAAAGAATGCAGACCTTGAAAGACAACTGCGAGATATACAAAAGTCTATTGACGAGCTGAAAAGTCCTAGGTCGCACCAACAAACCGTGGATTTGGATAGTGCTCCACTAAACATGTCCATCACAGCAGAACCCTATCAAGAGGGATTCAAGATTTCCCATCTGGAGACATATGATGGTTCGGGTGATCCAGATGAACATCTGCACACCTATCAAGCCATCATGAGAATCCAAAATGCCAATGATGCCATGATGTGTAAAGTGTTCCCAACGACACTGAAATCAACAGCCAGGAGATGGTATCACAAACTCCCCAGACATTCTATAGACTCATACTCCCAGCTCGCCAAGCTATTCTCCAACAAATTCGTGAGCCAGAGAGAGATCAAACGCACAGCAACCGAGCTGATGCAAGTCAATCAAAAGGAAGGGGAATCTCTAAGGGACTACATGCAGCGATTCAACAAAGCCACTTTGGACATTGATAACGTCCCAGATACCATCTGCCTGTCCGCCTTGCTACATGGTTTGAAGTGTGGCAGGTTCCTGGATGACCTCCTAGAAAACCCACCGAGAACTTGGAACGAAGTTAATGACAGGTCAGCTAGCTTCATATTATCAGAAGACTTCCAATCGTCCAAGCGACGAGCTGACGATAAGCAGAGCAAGAGCCAAGAACAGCCACCGGGAAGGGAAGAGAAGAAGAAACAGAAAGTCAGCGAGCAGTGGGGGAAACCCGCTGATTTCCCCAAGTATGCCAACTACATACCTTTAACCTTGCCCAGGTCCCAAATCCTTGCGCAAATACAACACTGGGTTAGAAGACCCCCACCCCCACTGTATGAGTCCTCGAGGGCGGACAAAAGCAAGCATTGTGACTATCATCGTACTTATGGTCACAACACAGAAGACTGCCAACATCTGAAGGACGAGCTAGAGTTCTTGGCTCGCAATGGGAAATTAGAAGGATATGTTCAGAAGCCCCACGCCCAGCAACCCACACAAACTCATTTTGTACAGGGGTATGACCGACCTCAAGGGCAGAGGTACCAGCTCGGCGGGGCGCAGGATGTATATCAGGACAATCCATATCCTTCGGAGCAGGGCAGGGCGTATAGAGGACGTCCGTTCAACAGGAGAGGACAGGGGTAGAGGGCCGCTGTCCAAAACCAAAAAGATAAGAAAAGGGTAGGCTATGCTGGGATACCCCCGCCCTCGGGTACAATAAACATGATATCAGGTGGTGTTCACTCTGGGGGCCAAAGCGCCTAAGCTCGCAAGGCATATGCCCGATAGGTGATGACGGTCAACAAAAACAGACCCTTGAAGCGGCCGTTCGAAGAAGCAGAATGGGAGAATACGCCTATCACATTCAGCCCGGCAGATTACAAGCGAGCAGAAGGAGAGCCTGACATTATGATGCCCCATGCAGATCCCTTTGTGGCAACGGTTCATATAGGCAATCATAATGTC